CCCCTGACAGGAGAATGGAAAGGACCACACCCTCTGTTAACCAAAGGTCGAGGATATCCTTGTGTCTTTCCAGAGAATGTGGAACAGCCCATTTGGGTACCAGCCAGAAACATCAAGCCTGCAACTGACAGCCAACCAGAAGCAGCTGAACAAGACCAAGACTCTGCCTTGTTAGCAGATGCACCTGCCCTATCATCCAACCCTGAGAAACTGCCCATAGCCATGCCTTTTACTGTTTTGTACCCCACTAGCTCTAGTCAGCCACTCAGATGGCCCACAGCTTGTGTGCGGTCATGCCATTCCTGATAACCATTATTCCTCATTCCTACCCCTATCTGAGCAAGCAATCCTGTGGTCTCTTGATTTGAGCACTGGTTAGTCAATGACAGGTAAGATCCCCTGGGGGACAACCTAACACAGGCACAGCTGCATATGGAGACCACATGGAAATGGGGTCAACAATGGTATGACCAAGAATCATGCCTCCCGTTGTTCAAAATAAACAAAAAGGGGGAAATGTGGTGGAATGAGAGGGCCATGCCAAGGAGGCCACTGGCAAGTGAGCATTAGTTACTCAGGAATGGCTTTGGAAACTGCCTGGCAACAGGCTGTGATTGGATGGCTTTGGAAACTGCCTGGCAGGCTGTGATTGGATGGCTTTGGAAACTGCCTGGGCGGGCTGTGATTGGATGGGGCATAGACTGCCCCTTGACCAGATTGGCTGGTCTTGGCTATATAAGATGTAGTTTCAACTGAAATAAACAAGTCTGCTGGCTGCTCGCCTCAAGTCTGCTTTCACTCGACTCCCGGGGTCTGTGTGGTGACTCCGCGCCTCTTGCCCCCACCACGCTGTTCCTCTCAGAAACGAATCCACTGCAACATTGTTGAGAAATCAACAGCAACACCTACCCTTTCCATGAACTTTTTCATCTAGATGTATATGTGTGTATCTATATATGAAACCCCGGGTTCACACTCTTATAGCCAGTATCAGTCACACCACAGCTTTCCTTCCTTCCCATTTTTAACCCCTTACTCTATCAGTGAGAAACTGGGTCACTTATATCCTTTTTATACTCACTTCTTTGCCAAATCTTTCTGTGTGCAACTAATCTATTTAAGGTATACAAATGTCATGCATTTCAGAAATGCAAATTTAGGAACAAAGTGATTCTTCCCCCCACTTTCTCTCCCACCTGCACTCCCACCCTTCTTCCTTGTCCCTCTCCAATTTTAATTCTAATTTTTTACTAATATCTATTTTAATTAACATTATGCACATAATATGAAGTCTAAACTAAGAAAATAATTCAACAAATAGTATAAAAAAAACTGTTCCTCAACAGTCGAGACAAGGGCTATTCAAAATCATTGCATTTCAAAGTGTCAATTTCATTTCTATAGATTATCTTTTAGGTACTCTATTAGTTACCACAGATCAGGGAGAACATACAGTATTTGTCCTTTTGGGACTGGCTTATTTAGCTAGGTATAATGTTTTCTAGTTGCATTCATTTTGTTGTGAACAACAGGATTTCATTTTTCCCACTGCATAGTATTCCATGATATATAATAATATAATTTATATATATATAATATATATATAAATCCATATATATAAATATATATATATATATAATTTATATATATCATATATAATTTATTTTCCATTCTGCAGCTCATGGACATTTGGGTTGATTCCATATCCTACTTATTGTGACTTGAGCTGCAATAAACATGGGAGTTACAGATAACACTTTCATATGCTGATTTCATTTCCCTTGGGTAAATTCCCAGGAGTGGGAACACTGGGTCATATGGTGGGTCTATATTCAAATTTCTGAGGTATTTCCATACTGTCTTCCACAGTGGCTGAACCAGTTTACATTCCCACCAACAGTGGATTAGGGTACCTTTTCCCCCACATCCTCACCAGCATTTGTTGTTAGCTGATTTCTGAATGAAAGCCATTCTAACTGGGGTGAGGTGAAATCTCATTGTGGTTTTGATTTGCATTTCCCTGATGGTTAGTGATTCTGAGCATTTTTCAGGTATCTGTTGGCCTTTAAATTTCCTCTTTTTAAAAATGCCTGTGTTGGCCAGCGCTGTGGCTCACTTGGCTAATCCTCCATCTGCGGCGCCGGCACCCTGGGTTCTAGTCCCAGTTGAGGCACCGGGTACTATTACTGGTTGCTCCTCTTCCAGTCCAGCTCTCTGCTGTGACCCGGGAAGGCAGTGGAGGATGTCCAGGATTCTTGGGTCCCTGCACCCACATGAGAGACCAGGAGGAAACACCCAGCTCCTGGCTTCGGATCCGCACAGCACCGGCTGTGGCGGCCATTATGGAAGTGAACCAATGGAAAGAAGACCTTTCTCTCTGTCTCTCTCTCACTGTCTATAACTCTACCTGTCAAATAAAATGCCTGTGTAAGTCTTTTGCCCATTTCTTAACTGGGTTGCTTGTTTTGCTGTTGTTAAGTTTCTTGAGCCCTTTATATATTCTTGATATTAATTTTTCAATTGCATATTTTGCAAACAATTTCTCTCATTGTGTCAGCTGCCTCTTCACTTTGCTGAGTGTTTCTTTGCTGTGCAATAGCTTCTCAGCTTTATGTAATCCCATTTGTTAATTTTGGCTTTGATTTCTTGTGCTCCTGGGGACTTCTCCAAGAAGTCTTTGCCTATGCCAAGGTTATGCAGGGTTTACCCAATGTTCTCTAGTAATTTGATGGTATTGGGTTTAGGTCTTTGATCCATTTTGAGTGTGCTTTTGTGTGAAGTTTATGGTAGGGGTCTTGTTTCATACTTTTGCACATAGAAATAAAGTTTTCCCAGCATCACTTATTGATGAGGCTGTCCTTGCTCCAGGGATTGATTTTAGCTCCTTTGTCAAAGATAAGTTGGTTGTAGATGCATAGATTGGCTTCTGGAGTTTCTATTCTGTTCCACTGATCTACCCACCTATTTTTTGGCACTACCAGGCCATTTTGATTATAATGGCCCTGCAGTATGTCTTGAAACCTGGTACTGTGATGCCTCCAGTTTTGTTTTTATTGTATAAGATTGCTTTAGCTATTCTTGGTCTCTTCAGTTTCCATATTAATTTTAGCATCGCTCTTCTCTAGATCTTTGAATTGGTATTTCAATTGTTATTACATTGAATCTATAAGCTGCTTTCAGTAGTGTGGGCATTTAATAATATTGATTCTTCCAATCCATGAACATTGAATGTTTTGCCGGGTTTTTTTTGGCTTTTCCTATTTCTTTCTTCAGTGTTTTTTAATTTTCATTTTAGAGATATTTGACATCTTTTGTTTAATTTATTCCAAGGTATTTAATTTTTTGTAGCTATTGTAACTGGAATTGATCTTAAAAATTGTTTTTTAGCCATGGCATTGTCTGTGCATACAAAGGCTATTGATTTTTTTTTGCATGTTACTTCTATACCCTGCCACTTTACCAAACTCTTTTCTGATTTCCAATAGTCTCTCACTGGAGTCTTTATGAAGAATCATGTTATCTGCAGATATGCATAGTTTGACTTCCTCCTTCCCAATTTGAATCCTTTTGGTTTCTTTTTATTGCTTAATAGCTCTTGCTAAAACTTCAGAACTATATTGAATAGTGATGGTGAGAGTGGGCATCCTTCTCTGGTTCTGGATATTAGTGGGAATGCTTCCAACTTTTCCTTATTCAGCAAGATGCTGGCTGTGAGTGTCATAAAATCCCTTGATTGTGTTGAGGAATGTACTTTCTATACCCAATTTGCTTAAGGTTTCATCATGAAACTATGTTGTATTTTATCAAATGCTTTCTTTACATCTATTGAAACAATCATATGGTTTCTATTCCTCAGTTTATTAATGTGATGCATCAAATTTATTGATTTGAAAATGTCAAGCCATCTCTACATATCAGGGATAAGTCTTATGTCACCCTGATGAATGATCTTTCTGATGTAGTGTTGGATTTGATTAGCTAGTATTTTGTTGAGGATTTTTGCATCTATATTCATCAGGGATATCTGTCTATAATTGTCGCTCTCTGTTGTGTCTTTTTCTTTTTTTAGGAATTAAGGTGATGCTAGCTTCTCCATTTTTATTTTCAACAGTCAGTGAATCAACAGTTTCTGGAAATTAATAGCACATTTTCATATCTAGAAGGAGAAGTCTCTTTTCACCTCATTGCAAATTAACATCATCTCAAAAGTAAAAAAAATAGTATGTGTATTTCCAAAATTTTAAACCTTGTTTGTTCATACATTTCTATTTGGTTCATGTAAAAGTGAGAAAGTTATTGAAGGAATACTCAGTTTGAGAAAAATGAAAATTTTTTCAATCACAGAGCACTATTTACACATTCAGATTTCCTTCTGACGTCCCTCATTTCAAAACTTCCATACACAGGTGTGCACTGACACATACTGGATTTTACTCAAAGAATTTTTAACTCAGAAGTGGATTATGGAAATTATTTCTCTCATCACACATTTTCTATGATATACATAATATATACATTAAACACATACATTAACAATAAACTGTAGAGAGTTAATTTTGCTAGTTAAATCACTTCTTTCATCAGTATGATGCTCTACAAGGAAAATCATGAATAAATCAGAAAGCAGACCAAGTTTTGCCTTTGTTTCTCAGAGTGGTAGTCTGAGGGTGGTGTTTCTGCATCTTAGGTGCTGAGGAAGCCCAGCTCCCCTGCTTACAAGAGCCCAACCTAGGCCTCTGATGAGCCCGGGAATGCAAGCGTTTCTCCTCCTTTCTGTCTGGCTTTCATCCCCCCATTGTTTGCGCATGTACCGTAGGCCCTGTTACTTGGTAGTCACAGTACCTGTTACCTATTCTTGTCACCTTCATTTAGGCCAGTTTTTCTAAGCAACAGAAGCGGCTGCCCTGGCGTTATTTCACCTGCCTAGGCAGTTTTGTATATCTTTCCAAGATCCTTGTCTTGGACGCAGTATCTGGACTGTGATTTATTCTTTGCTATACTTGCCTCCAACCGAAGAACTGAAGACACTCCTGAATCAAAAACCTTAAAGGTATAAAACCTTCAAGGCGGAGACTGCTGGCAGCTTTCCGCTGCCTCAAAAACCTAAGGCTAGTGCTGTCTCCCCTCCAAGTCCCAACAGGTAAGCTCAGTGCCTTTGCAGCCTCTCAGCTCACAATAGTTGTAACCAAGCAACGCCGTTAAACACTAATGCGCAGGCGCGCCTCTGGAGGCTAGCTACTGCGCATGTGCACAGAAGGCTGACACCCCCCCACCCCCACCCCCCGGGGCCCCGCGTGTTGGGTTGCGTATGTGCAAGGCCGGTGCTTCACAAATCTGCATCCCTCTCCCTCCTTTTTTTTAAACTTATAAATGTTGGAACTTGGTTAAGCAAGCATTGGGCCCAGTCTGGGAAAAGTGAGACCCTCCCTTCCTGTGGGAAAGCAATCTGCCCCTGACTGGGGTTAAAGTCTCATGGAATGTAAGGATGCTGTAAAAGCTCTCTAAATCTCATCATCCCTCAGTTTATTCTTTCCACATTCCCGTGGGTCCTAGTCAGTCTCTGAGAATTTAGCAGATGCAATGACAAAAGACTCTTTTCCTGATTTCAGACATTGTAGTAACCTATGTCATCAGGTGCAAATTTGATAGCAGAACTCAGTGCACATTTTCCAGAAGGAATGAGAACACATTTTTGCAGACTTCATAGCCCTCTTGTATCTGGAGTGCGTTACCTGATTCTTGACTTGTGTATAGGCATGAAGAAAGAATCTGAAATGCAAAGCGAATGTAAGTTGATTAAGCAAGCAAGAAAAAGAATAAAAGCTCTCTGTCTCACTGGAGACCTGGAGTACATAGAGGAACCCTAGAGCTGGGGGTCTGTTCAGGAAGTGGGACTCTGGGTCTTTTACAGGTAATCTAACATCCTTTTCGCTCACTCCATCTGGGTGGCAACATGGGATATGGGATAGGAGGATACCTTTTATTGGGCGAGGACTCTGAGAACAAGCATGACCATGGAAGGGGTTTGGGGTTGGCTTTGTTTTGGAGCATGGTGTATTATTTATGGATTTTTAAAACTGGATGTTCACTTTTCCCAAATGGTTTATATTTTTACAGTAGGCTAAAATTTGATCTTTTGTTATTATATTTTCTCTGATGCTGTTTTTTGTTTTAAATAATTCTGTTGCATGGAATGGTCTGCTTCTTATATGAGTACTCCACGACTTTTCCTTATTCATCCATAAAATATACAGTGCTTTGAGTAAGTGTCTAGCACTCTGGATAAAATGTCACTCAGAATGCCTGCATGCCATATAGAACTGGCTGGGTTTCCAGACTGACTCCGGGATCCTGATTTTTGCCTGGTCCAATCCCATGTGTTGCTAGCATTTGGGGAGTAAGCTAGAAAAGGGATAGATTTCTCTTTTCCTTATTTCTGTCTTCTTTTTTTTTTAACTTTTATTTAATGAATATAAATTTCCAAAGTACAGCTTATGGATTACAATGGCTTCCCCCCCATAACGTCCCTCCCACCCGCAACCCTCCCCTTTTCCACTCCCTCTCCCCTTCCATTCACATCAAGATTCATTTTCTATTCTCTTTATATACAGAAGATCGGTTTAGCATATATTAAGTAAAGATTTCAACAGTTTGCTCCCACACAGAAACATAAAGTGAAAAATACTGTTTGAGTACCAGTTATAGCATTAAATCTCAATGTACAGCACACTAAGGACAAAGATCCTACATGAGGAGTAAGTGCACAGTGACTCCTTTTGTTGACTTAACAAATTGACACTCTTGTGTATGGCATCAGTAATCAACCTAGGCTCTTGTCATGAGCTGCTTCTTTCTCTCTGTCAAATAAAATGAAAATATTTAACATTATAAATTTTAAGTATAAAGTATTTTAAAACATGTTCCAGTTACACTGTTCCCCTCCTTATTCTTTCTTTTCATGATTCTCTTGGTAATACTCATTTGTTACACAGTTATTCTTAAATGTTGAAAATTAACTGAAAAGTGGCCCCTGTTAAATATAAGAGTGAGAATAAGAGAGGGAAGAGATGTACAATTTGGGACAGGCTCAATCGGACTTGCCCCAAATGGTAGAGTTGGAAACATACCAGGGGATTCCAATTCAATTCCATCAAGGTGGCATGTACCAATGTCATCTCACTAGTCCAAGTGATCAATTTCTGTTCACGATTGATCATAATGATAGGACTAAGAGTCAAAGGGATCACATAAACAAGACTAGTGTATGAAGATACTAACCGACAGAATAAAAAAAAAGGGAGAGAACGATCCATCATGGGAAGCGGGATACACAGCAGACTCATAGAATGGCAGATGTCCTAAACAGCACTCTGGCCTCAGAATCAGCCCTTAAGGCATTCGGATCCGGCTGAAAAGCCCGTGAGAGTATTTCAGGCATGGAAAGCCAAGACACTCTGGCAAAAAAAAAAAGGACCTAAATGAAAGATCTCTGTGAGTGAGATCCCAGTGGAAAGAACAGGTCTTCAAAGAAGGAGGTACCTTTCTCTGAAGGGAGGAGAGAACTTCCACTTTGACTATGACCTTGTCTAAATATGATCAGAGTCGGAGAACTCAAAAGGCTTCTATAGCCTTGGCAACTCATGACAAGAGCCTAGGGAGATTACTGACGCCATAAACAAGAGTGCCAATTTGTTAAGTCAACAACAGGAATCACTGTGCACTTACTCCTCATGTAGGATCTCTGTCCTTAATGTGCTGTATATTGTGATTTAATGCTATAACTAGTACTGAAACAGTATTTTACACTTTGTATTTCTATGTGGATACAAACTGCTGAAATCTTTACTTAATATATACTAAATTGATCTTTTGTATATAAATAAAATTGAAAATGAATCTTGGTGTGAATGGAAGTTGAGAGGGAGCGGGAGAGGGGAGGGTTGCGGGTGGGAGGGAAGTTATGGGCGGGGGAAAAAGCCATTGTAATCCATAAGCTATACTTTGGAAATTTATATTCATTAAATAAAAGTTAAAAAATACTCATTTCTACATTGAGATGGATTTTTTAAAGATTTATTTATTTGAAAGTGAGAGTTACAGAGAGGCAGAGAAACAGAGAGAAGTCTTCCACCTGCTGGCTCATTCCCCAAATGACTGCAATGGCTGGAGCTGGGCTGATATGAGGGCAGGAGGCAGGAGGTTCTTCCAGGTCTCCCACACGGTTGCAGGGGCCCAAGGACTTGGGTCATCTTCTACTGCTTTCCCAGGCCATAGCAGAGAGCTGGATTGGAAGTGGAGCAGTTGGAACTTGAACCAGAACCCGTATGGCATGCTACCACTACAGGCAATAACTTTACCTGCTATGACACAGTGCAGGCCCCAGAGATAGATTTTTAATTCCTATACAAATTTAACAATACAATGTTCTGAGTATTTGATTGTAATTGTGTTAAGAAAACAATTGTAACCAAGCATCAACTGCCCAATTAAGTATATCCAGGAAAATGTTACATCTCCTATTATTTTTTTCATTTTTGAAAAAACAGTATCAATTTGAGACCCAGACAGAAATAGTACCCATTAGCTGATTCATTCCCCAAATGTCCTCAGTTGGCTAGGGCTGACCCAAGTTGCAGCCAGGAGCTGGAAACCCAATCATAGTCTCCCACATGGGTTGCTGGGACCCAGCTACTTGAACTACCATTTGCTATCCCCTAGAGTGCAAGTTAGGGGAAAGTTAGAATTAAAAGTCAAGAGTGAGGGGCCGGCACTGTGGTGTAGTAGGTAAAGCTGCCACCTGCCAGCATCCTATATGGGCACTGGTTCATGTCCCAGCTGCTCCATTTCCAATACAGCTCTCTGCTATGGTCAGGGAAAGCAGTAGAAGATGGCCCGAGACCTTGGGCCCCTGCACCCATGTGGGAAGACCTGAGGAAGCACCTGGCTCCTGGCTTCGGATTGGCACAGCCACTGCAGCCATCTGGTGAGTGAACAAGTGGATGGAAGACCTCTCTTTCTCTCTCTCTGTCTCTCCTTCTCTCTCTGTGAAACTCTTTCAAATAAATAAATAAATAAATATTTTTAAAGGTTTTTTATTTATTTATTTGAAAGTAGAGTTACACAGAGTGAGAAGCAGAGAGAGAGGTCTTCCATCCAATGGTTCACTCCCCAACTAGCCGTAATGGCCTGAGCTGCACCAATCTGAAGCCAGGAGCCAGGAGCCTCCTCTGGGTCTCCCACATGGATGCAGGGACCCAAGGACCTGGGCCATCTTGTACTGCTTTCCCAAGCAATAGCAGAGAGCTGGACAGGAAGTGGAGCAACAGATAAAGGGTTAATAACCAGAATCTACAAAGAGATCAAGAAACTCCACAACATCAAAACAAACAACCCACTTAAGAGATGGGCCAAGGACCTCAACAGACATTTTTCAAAAGAGGAAATCCAAATGGCCAACAGGCACATGAAAAAATGTTCAAGGTCATTAGCAATCAGGGAAATGCAAATCAAAACCACAATGAGGTTTCACCTCACCCCAGTTAGAATGGCTCACATGCAGAAATCTACCAACAACAGATGCTGGCGAGGATGTGGGGAAAAAGGGACACTAACCCACTGTTGGTGGGAATGCAAACTGGTCAAGCCACTATGGAAGTCAGTCTGGAGATTCCTCAGAAACCTGAAGATAACCCTACCGTTCGACCCAGCCATGCCACTCCTTGGAATTTACCCAAAGGAATTTAAATTGGCAAACAAAAAAGCGGTCTGCACCCTAATGTTTATTGCAGCTCAATTCACAATAGCTAAGACCTGGAACCAAGCTAAATGCCCATCAACGGTAGACTGGATAAAGAAATTATGGGATATGTACTCTTTAGAATACTATACCGCAGTAAGAAACAACGAAATCCAGTCATTTGCAACAAAATGGAGGAATCTGGAACACATCATGCTGAGTGAAATAAGCCAGTCCCAAAGGGACAAATACAATATGTTCTCCCTGATCGGTGACGACTGACTGAACACCAAGAGGGAAACCTGTTGGAGTGAGGTGGACACTATGGGAAACGGTGGCTTGATCAGCATAGCCCTGACTGTTAATGAACAACTTAATACATTATCCCTCTTAGTAGTTTTTTTATCTGTTCTACTTAATATGACTG